AAATACACCAAGCTCACAATCTTCTCTTGAGCTCTCTCTCCTTCCTCCAATTCTTCTAGTTCTAAATTTCTGTTTTAGTTTTATTTTATGGGGAACTAACTCCCTAGCTAAGGCTAGGGAGAAAGCTTTTAATATAAGTGTGTAATTTTTATTAGTTTGATCCAAACTTAAGCTTTAATGTGATTTTGTAGTATTTGTTCAAATGGAATTTGTAGTTTTCTTTTTAATTAATTGATGAATGTTTGATAATCTATTTCATGGGTTCAATCATGTTTTTCCCATTGTGTAGTAAAAACTTTCATGCTTTTAAAAGAGAAGAGAATTACTAAGGATTAATAGAATTTTGATGAAGATTATTTTTTGATAGTTTGTTGCCAATGGTACAAGTTATGCTTAGAATACTTCTAAAGGAAATTAAAAAGAGCTTTAATTATTTTGAACAACTACATTGAAAAATATTTTGTGGATCAAATTATTAAGAGTTGCATGTTTATGTTAAAAGTGGAATCCCAATGCTTTAGTGTTTTAATCAATTAAATTTTCTCTAAATCAAATCTTGCATAAATCTACCTCTCAATCACACTTGTTCTTTTTCATCTCTGTTATTTTCTTTACACCTGCTCTCTGTGGATACGACACTCGGACTTCCGAGCTACACTATTATACGATACCTTCCCTTGGGTTTTGCACAAGTGGTACGAACACTTGGCTGCCCCATCAACTAAGAGGTCAGCCATAGGAATGGGGTATTCATCTTTAGGAGTTGCAAGATTGAGATTACGAAAATCAACACAAATTCTTATTGCTCCAGTCTTTTTCTTTACAGGTACAATATTTGAAAGCCATTCTACATACCTAGCTGGCCTAATAAACTTGGCTTTAACAAGCCTTACAATTTCTTCCTTAACCTGTAATTCTACTTCCGTCGACATTCGACGAGGTGACTGCTTGAAGGGCTTGAAATCCTCCGTTGTTGGTAAGCAATGCTCGACTAAGTCACGACTCAATCCAGGCATCTCGGTGTAATCCCAAGCAAAGCAATCCTTGAATTCTCTTAAAAGCTCCTCCATCTTGGTCCGAAGCTCTGGCTCCATTAGGCCACTAATGTAGATTGGCCGATGGTTGTCTTCCGTTCCTAGGTTGATCTCCAATAATGGATCTTGGACTTCCGCCTTTGAATCATCCATCTCAGTTGGCGCCAACTCAACTTCTTCAAGTTCGAGTGCATCATCTTCCGGACCTTTGTGAAGGAATTCCACCAAATGAGCAGTGGACCCATGTTCGGCTGCTCTCTCGGCCCAAAAACCATATAGCCGTCTCAAAGTGTCTTCCACCGCGGCTCTTTTTTCTTCCTCGATGGTCGTGTCACTCATTGAGAGAGAAGAAATCAGCCATCGTGGGGCGCTCCCCATCTGCTTGGGCATCATGTGACCCCAAGTCTATCAATTTTTGGGCCGAGACTCCCGTAGGTCGGCCGTTCTTATCTGACCCTGTGAAATAAAGAAGACCAAGATCATCCTCATAAAATCTGGCCTTCACTGTGTTGGCTGAAGCCATGAAAGGCCGTGAGTCGGCCTGAACTAGTTCCACACTCCCATCCTCGTGCCAAAATTGTAGAGTCTGATGAAGCGAGGAAGGGACACACATACTTCCGTGGATCCAATCTTGACCCAACAATGTACTAAAGTGAGCCATTGTTTCTACCACGAAGAAGGCTGTCATCCTGACCTTTCCTCCTACTCTGACTTGGAGTGGGATGATCCCCTTCGATCTTGTGGTGTCTCCCACAAAGCCGCTGACCGTTGTCTCGGTCGGGATTAATTCGTCTGAACTCTTCTTCAATTTCTTCATCACCGAGGCTGGGAGGATGTTCACCGTGGCCCCTGTGTCGACTAGAACTTTGCTCACCGGAATCCCATCAAAATGAGCACTCACATATAGAGGTTTAAGATGGGAAGCCATCTTCTTAGTGAGCATTTCGTAGCACACCTTCTTCGGCATTTCCTTCTCTAAACTTGGAACCACGATTTGAGGATGAGCTACCTTTGCCTTCGGGATTTCCCGAATCACTTCGATTTCCTTTGGTTCTCCCATCTGGACCATGGATTCGATTTCATCGAACACATCCCCATCCATGGAATTTGGTTGACCTGGCTGAGCCTCGAAAAATAAGGGAAGTGTGATGACCATGGCTTCAACTTCATCGAAGTCCCCAAACTTCACCTTGGCCTTGCCCACTTTTAGTTCATTTTCAAACTTGGCCATCTCTTCCGTGCGTTCTTTAGCTAGTTGCTCCATAACTTCTTCTGTAAGTTCTTCGAAGTACTCATCATCACCATACTCTTCCTCTTCCCCATAAAGTTCTTCGTCGTCAGCCAAAGTGCCTTCTGGATTTTCTGAAGCTTTTGTGGCCTCAACATCGGTCGTAGCCTCGGCCTTTTCTTCCGCCTCAGGTGTTTGAACATCGACCATGACTTGGTCCTCTTCTACCTTTGGCTTGTCTTCTCTAGTTTGGGGCTTTCCCCTAACATTCTCGACCATTTCATGGTCATTTTCTTTTTTCTCATCGACCTCAGATGTTGATACCACCTTTGTCGCTACTTGATTCTTGAGGACTGGAGGCTTGGCCTTCAACTGAACCTTCCTAGACTTCTCAACCTTTGATGGTTTGTCATCCAACCCCTTCGTTGGCCCACTAGATTTGGCCTTGGAATTGTTTGCTTCAAAAGCTCCACTCAAATGAGCCTCCAACTCCAAGATTGGCTCATCTAAGGCTGTCACCACAACTTGGCCATTTGCCCATTGTCGGCGGATTTTTATCTCTTCCGCTGCTGTTGCCTCCAACGAAGCCACGGCATCGGCTTTGGCTAACCCCAACTCTTCCAGCCGAAGTTTTTCTCGAAGCTCAACTAATCGATTAAGTTGGGCTTGCCTCTCGTCCGCCCATTCAAACTCCGCATTACATGAGGCAACATATTTCCTCTGAGCCCTTCTTGTTTGAGTTTTGCTTAAAGGTACTGGAGGAAGCTTTGAACCTCTACTCCTATACCACTGACCTACCTTGGTGTTTGGCATCTTGAACGTCGGAACACCACTACCATCTGCTGGGCGAGGTCTTGATACATAAGCCACATCTCGATTCCTTCCTTCTCCCACTGAAACCCACATGCTTCTATTTTGGTTTCGGCTTGGGTTCAGCGGATCAACATCCTCATACCTTAGAGGCATCTGCTGATTTCTTCTCTTAGGCTGATATCGTGACCTCTCGTACCTATCTTGGTACTCATGTAATGGTCGGTTGTTCGGCATTGTCTCCATCAAGTCCCTTGGGCTATGTGGGCCGTAATTTTTGGCCGGACTTCTCATCATATTCTTCCCCTCACTTTTGAGTCTACTTGCCTGGACATGCTCCTTGGCCGACTCCCTAGTCGGTTCTTTGGATGGCTCCTTGGGCTTTGGTGGAACTACTCCAATGAGACCTCACATTGACATCGGCTGCATAACACAATGGCCTTGGGAGGTTCTTCCCTGATTGGAGTCT